AATATAGTGGTCATCTGCTGCTCTCAGCTCACAGCCTCTTCACTGCTTCTCCTCTTCATCACCTCAGTCTGTTTTTATTTTAGGCTAATGTCTCAGATTCATTACATGATGATCTGACACATACCTGACACGTATCTGACATGTACCTGACACGTTTCTGACATGCATCTGACACGTATCTGACACGTTACCTGACATGTACCTGACATATATCTGACACGTATCCGACACGTTATCTGACATGTAACTGACACATATCTGACACGTTACCTGACATGTACCTGACATATATCTGACACGTATCTGACACATTATCTGACATGTACCTGACATATATCTGACACGTTATCTGACATGTACCTGACATATATCTGACACGTATCTGACACGTACCTGACACGAACCTGACATGTACCTGACATGTATCTGACATGTATCTGACACGTACCTGATATGAGGGGTGAAACGTATCAGCGAACACACACAGTGCATTCACTGCGTATTTGATACATGTACATTGCGTGCGCAACCATCACCTGGTACTTGCTTCGCGTGCACTGCGCGTGCATTCACCGTGTACTTGTAACACATGCAATGCGCGTGCAATGCCTGCACACGCCTAGATGTGTGGTTATTAGACGTGCGTGTGTTTATGGCAAGCCGTTTTAACATTTAATCGCTAGACTGGATATTCATTACTGATATCTGCAACATAATTTTGCCTAGTCAAAACTCTTATTCAAGATATCTGTAATTCAGTTTTGACTAGTAAGATTCAAACTAATTTTGCCATTCATGTGTATGAAGTTTGTCATAATAGATATCTCCAATGTAGTTGCGGATATCTGCAATTGTTATTGAAGATATCAGCAACTGAATTGTAGATATCTGTAATTCCAGTTTGAGATATCTACAATTTAATTTTGACTAGTCATAATTCAAGTTCAAGATATCTTTAATTATCATCAATTGAAGATATCTACATGGTCCTTTCTAGATATCTTGAATTAAGTTTCAGATAGTCAGAATGATGTTGTAGATATCTGCATCTGAATATCTGTAATTCAGTATTGACTAGTCAGAATGACATTATAGATATCTGGAATTAAAATTCATACTAGTCAAAATGACATTGTTGATATCTATAATGGTAATTCCGGATAGTCACACTAGTCACACGATTAAATGTTAAAACGGCTTGCCACAGTGCGTTGACACATGTTGAGGCATATAGGCTTTTTTACAGCAAACAGGAATAAAATATAAATCTAGATTTTACAAGTAAGGAAAGACTTGACAAAACATCAGCATGAACAGCGCTGTGTTCCCCACTCTCAACCTGGTAGCCAAAGTCCGAGTGAATTTAACCCATTTAAACCCATTTAAGGATGTCTGAAAAGCTGTTTCCATAAACAGTCAAATCCGCAAAAGGGCAAAATGCGAAAAAAATGTTTATGAAAACACAACTATTGATTAAAAACATACAGATGGAGGTTTGCAGCATTTAGGATCCAATTCAATAATAGGCTATATATTCACAATTAGGCTGTTGTAGCCTATATATTATCTTAGTTAAATATTTTTAAACCACAGCCAGACATCGAGGGTGGTCAGTAGCTCTGATTTGTGAGGATAAAATAAAAATTTTAAAAAATCATGCGTGTGTATATGCAGGCGTATATCTGCAGCGACTTGATTCATTATTCATTTCATCATGAGCGATTCATTTATTCATTCCACTCTTGCGAAGCACACACACGCACGCCTGCCTGCACGTGTAAACTATGGAGACAGACAGTTTGCCAAAGTAATCTGACGCGTTCAAGTGTTAATGATGTGTACATGCACTGTGTGTGTGTGCGAGATTCACACGCACACGCAGGTGTAGTGTATGTGTGGCATTTGTAAAGCACTGTGCACGCGTCCTGAAAAGACGTGTGAGCGCGTCATGTGAGTGGAACGAACAACACCTGCGCGTCATGTAGCAGGCGTGCGTGTAACACTCGTGTCTCCATAGTAACCCTATGTAAAATGTAGGCATGCGCTCACGCGGTTTGATTTCATCTGATGTGTCCTAAGTAGGCGTAAGTGACGCATTGTAGTGTGGTTGGGTGAAACGTTTGACACCTCATAGTATCTGACATGTATGTGACATGTACCTGACACATATCTGACATGTATGTGACATGAATGTGACATCTATCTGACACGTACCTGACATGTACCTGACACATATGTGACATGTAGGGGCATGTATCTGACACGTACCTGACATGTATCTGACACGTATGTGACATGTATGTGACATGAATGTGACATGTATCTGACACGTACCTGACATGTATCTGACACATATCTGACATGTATGTGACATGAATGTGACATCTATCTGACACGTACCTGACATATATCTGACACATATCTGACATGTATATGACATGAATGTGACATGTACCTGACTCGTACCTGACTCGTATCTGGCATGTACCTGAAATGAACCTCCTCATTCCTTCATTTAAACTCCTCTTCCTCACTCCTTCATCAAACTCCTCTTCTTCCTCACTCCTTCATCAAACTCCTCTTCTTCCTCACTCCTTCATTAAACTCCTCTTCCTCACTCCTTCATCAAACTCCTCTTCCTCCTGTTCCTCACTCCTTCATTAAACTCCTCTTCCTCACTCCTTCATTTAAACTCCTCTTCCTCACTCCTTCATCAAACTCCTCTTCCTCACTCCTTCATCAAACTCCTCTTCCTCCTGTTCCTCACTCCTTCATTAAACTCCTCTCCCTCACTCCTTCATTTAAACTCCTCTTCCTCACTCCTTCATCACACTCCTCTTCCTCACTCCTTCATCACACTCTTCACTCAGTCAGTTTGATGATTAAAAGAATAAAGTCCTGTTGGTGAAGTGATGAAGGCTGTAATAAATAATCGGAAGAATAAATGTTGCAATAAATGACTGAATGAATGTGTTAGATCTCGGCACCTACCTGTCGGTGTGTGTTTCAGGTCCAGAGTCTCACAGCAGGAAGGTCTCTGTCCTCCGCTGCTTCATCACACTGCTGCTGCTGCTGCTGCTGCTGATGATGATGATGATGATGGTGATGATGATGCGGGCTGTTGTGGGCAACAGGCGGCGGGGCGCGCGCGAGGCTCCCGGTGAAGTTGCCGCTCTTTAAGTGTTCGGAGTCTGCGCAGTGGAGCGGGACCGGTGCTGCATTCAGGGACTGTCGGACACGTTTGGATGGGAGGCAGTACACAGATGTCTGAGTGAAGTAGAAGTATCAGAGAGCAGAAGTACTCTGTTACAAGTAAAAGTACTGCGTTCATAAAGTTACTCCAGTAGAAGTATAAGAGAGTATGACAGAATGAGGTTTTTATTTATTTATTCATTCATTCTTGTATTTATTTATTTATTTATTTATTTATTATATCCTATGTACTGCCACGCAGCTTGTGAATTTCACCAAGAGATTAATTAACTTTATCCATAAAATCATATTTTACTTGTTGAATATATTTTTAATTATTGATAAATTATAAAATCCAAAGTATGAAAAAGATGTAGTTAAATAAAAAGTAGCCTACAGGAAGTATAAAGACGCAGTACTTGAGTAAATGTACTTGGTTACTTTCTGCCATTATTGTGCTTTTAATTTGAAAGGTAGCTCTGTGTGTGTGTGTGTGTGTGTGTGTGTGTGTGTGTGTGAGACCTGTGATGTGTTCAGGTTAAAGGTCAAATTACCTTAATGAAGTAATTAAACTGTGAATCAATAATCAATAATCAGTGATCATGTTCTCTTCATTAAACACAAACCTTAATTTAATTTAATCTTCAGACACACACACACAGTCAGGTTTAAACTCGGTGTGTGTGTGTGTGTGTGTGTGTGTGTGTGTGTGTGTGTCCTGTGAACTGTGTCTCCCTCTGCTGTACAAACCTGTTCATTCCTCCTGTGACCTACCGAGGTGATGACGTCATATTGAGTCTTCTCATGGAAGAATTAAAGCAAAAATACTACATTACAAAAACACTTTGTTACTAGTCAAATTCAAACATCAAAATAAAAATAAAAGTTATGATTTTACAGAATAAGTTAAATAAATGGAATATAATTATTAATATATGTTCATCAGTAAGGTGTAAAAAAAAAAATCAGTAAGGTGTAAAATGTGTGACTTTCATTATTATCATTATTATTATTGATATCATTATTATTATTATTATTATTATTATTATTATTATTATTAATGGTTAAGGAGAACCAGTGTGTGTGTGTGTGTGTGTGTGTGTGTGTGTGTGCTTAGATCAGGGTTTCCTCTTCGTGTGTGTGAAACCTGATCAACAACATTTATAGACAAACTGGATTTTATCATGTTTTTATATGTTGGCTTGACGTTGTTGGACGGACTTCAGTGGTAAAGTTTAACTGAGATATTTATGGAGTCTGAATTCATAACGATGAAAAGGAAAATGTGCAGTAGATGTTTTTACATTCACATTAATGAGGGATGAGACGTGTTCTCCCAAATCTCACAACACAATAAAGGTTTAGTGTCAGGTGACACAGACGTGACGTCACATGTGATTTAACCTGCTGTCCTCTTCGTGTGGACACGTAACATCTGCAGAGTTTCAGACATGCAACGTCCATCGGAATGATTTTTTTAAATTAATGACAGGAAGTCTCATAAACTGTCCCAGTCTGCCTCAGTTCACCCAACATGGAAATACTCAGGTACTGTGTGTACAGTACTCGTGTAAATGTACTGTTACCTTCCATCAGTGGTGACAGTATCTGTTTATTCACTGAAATCTGACCTGTTTCCAATAACCAACAGAATAAAGAGGATAAAAACAGTGTGTGGCTGAACTGGAGCCAGAGACAGAACTCATCAGCTTCACCTTTACATTTAATCATATTTATTTATTTACTGTGTGTAACTCTGCCAACAGGCGGCATCAGTCATCAAATAAAACCCAGAGGTCATTAACAGCTATTTACACAGCCAGTTTATTAATATTCCTCTTTGTACAGAGATACTGAAAGGCATCCTACCATCCATATATTTTTATCGTAGCAAATGAGGTTTTAAGCAAAAATATTAATACAAATATAGATGCAGCAGCAGCACACGTCATCAGGAGCGTTTCATTTCAGCTTTGCATTGCTATGTTTGTTTCTTCAGCTACAGCAACAAGAATATCTGGTGATACATTATCTGTTGTAGACTGCGCCAAACGAAGGCGCTGTGAAATTACTGTAAACACATTTTGGAATGTCAGTAACATCAACTGATTTTCAGCTCAGATCAAACTTTCTTAAATTAAATGCACTGGTGATTATTGTCTGATAAATAAGAGCACAGGAAGTCGGATCAGTGTCAGACTTTATAAAAAGATATTAGAGTAAAAGTCATGGCTTATTTTAGTTCAGTACCATAAGAAGCAGGATATTTGGTTCATTATCTGCAGTAAGGGCACTCAGTTACACAGCTTATTAACAACTTCATCACATGGTCAGTGTGATTTACATCAATCCGTCTCTTTACAGATCAACAACATGCAACCAGAGGTGAACGCAGACTCAATCTTTACTGTGATTCGTTAATGATCTGTTTTCTGTCTAAGCTCTCCATCAGTCAGAAACCCACCGGCCCCTGATACCGGTCAATAAACACAGTTTATATTGAGTTATTTCACTTGTTGACTCCGTCGAAGAACCTCATTTTCTCCAAGTGCACAGAGTCTCGAAGTCGCTGAACGGATGACGCCGTCTCACCTGAGATGGGCTCCAAGGAACGTGTGATCTGTTTTGTTATAACAATTGTTTCTTTGCTTTCACTTCTTCCACTTGATGTTTCCCGGACTAAACGCCTTTCAAGGACCGTCCTCTTGCCGCCATGTGAATCCTCGACGGTCCACGCTGCCGCTTCATCAGCGTCTGATTGGAGGGGAAGGGCTCCAGCTGATTGGACCTGGAGAGCAGTTAGCAGCTTGGCATGCTGTGCCTCTGGCGTCGCCTGTATGTTTGATGTAATGACATGTATTTTTCCAGATTCCAGTCTGAGGGTGTCCTCGGATGAAGATGAAACTCCGGATGACAGAATGGTGATTTTCTCAGGCAGGTTGGGCTCAACGGAGACAAGCTCAGTCCTTGTGGTGGAAGTAATGATGTTACTGTGCATCTCTCCAAGCACTGTGGCAGCATCAGGGTCCGAGTATTTGACCGTGACTTTGGTTGGAGAAGATAAGGACAGGCCAGCATGCTCACTCGTCATTGCAGAGCTAATGTCAGCGAAGGCATCAGATGACTGGACAGAACAGGTTTGACTTATTTCCTCATCCACTGATTCTCCTGCTGGACTCTTCTTGTCCTTGTGCTCGTCTTTTTCAGGTGTCTTAACAGGTTCTGATGGCGAGGACAGTCCAAACCGGGGGAATTTAAACCAGCCTGTCCTCTCAGGACTTTTGACAGTATCTTGCTTTGTCTCCTCTTTTTTTGTCTCAGACTTTTTTCCACTGGGTTCATCTGTGTCATGAACTTCCTTTGAGGTTTCAAGACTTTCTTCTGGTTTTGGGACATCAAATTCAACATCAATATTCTTGAGGATCTCACCAAATGATGTCAAAGCCTGTTTTGGTGATTTAGTCTCTGCTTTTGACTCAGCCTCCTTTTTCAGCTGATCTTTGCTGTCAGTGTCCACTGGGATATGTTCGTCCTCAGGGACATGTTCATCCACAGGGACATGTTCAGCCTCAGTGGCGGCTCTGGAGAAACTCAGCTTTGGCATCTTAAATGTTGGTAATTTGAATTTACTTGGAGAGGCAAGGCCTGCGCTGTCTGTTTCAGTTTTTGGTGCTTCAGAATCTGCTGCAGCAGCTTTGGACACATCTGTCTTAATGTCAACACTTGGACCTTTGATGGTGACAGTGACATCCTCCTTCAGTTTAGCTCCTTCAGTTTCCGCTGCTTTGTCAGCGGCAAGTGCTTCTACGGTGACATCATAGACAGCACCTCCAAATTTGGGCATTTTCACTGTGGGCATTTTAAACTTTGACGGTGATCCTCCAACATCTTTTGACTTGGCTTCACTCTCAGAAGCTTTAATTTCCACACTTGCTGAAGATTGTTTGACTTCAGGGAGTTTGACCTCGGCTTTAACATCTGGCAGTGTGATGCCTACGTCTCTCTGCGATGTACTTAACTCTTCTGCAGGTCCTTTTGTTTTTGGTAATGCGATGCCAAACTTTGGCAATTTAAACTTGCTTCCTTGTTCATCATGTTCAGCTTCAAACTCCAGAGCTTTCATTTTCATTTCAGGTTGTTTGACTATCACTTCTCCCTCTGGAAGAGAAACATCCACCTGTGCACTGACTGCACCTTCTTTAACATTTGACTTTGACAAAGAAAATCCTGGTAGAGAAAATGTAGTTTTTTTCAGGTTTGCATCGAGTTCAGCAGAATGAGGTTCTTCCACTGAAACGGACCCTGAAGGTCCGTGGACTTCTGCTTTGGCCTCTGGTGATGTCACATCAACTTTGGGTGATTCAAAGTTCACATCAACATCAGGGGCTTTACTGCCTGTCCGTGAAAATGAAAACTTTGGAAATGTCCAGTTCGGTCGTTTCAACTTGGCCTCAACCTCAGTAGTTGGTGCATCTGGTACTGAAATGGCACCTTCAGGTTGTTTGACTTCAACATCAGGCAGTTTGACTTCAGCTTTGGCTTCTGGTAGTGTCACATCTACATCTTTCTTTGATAAGCTCAGATCCATTTCAGGCCCCTTAACTTTGGGCATTGAGATGCCAAACTTTGGCATTTTAAACTTCCTTTCCTGCCCCTCTAATTCTACGTCACCTTCTGGCAGCTTAAGCTCCACCTCAGGTTGTTTGACTTCGACATCAGGCAGTTTGACTTCAGCTTTGGCTTCTGGTAGTGTCACGTCTACATCTTTCTTTGATAAGCTCAGATCCATTTCAGGTCCTTTAACTTTGGGCATTGAGATGCCAAACTTTGGCATTTTAAACTTGCTTCCTGACCCTTCAATGTCACTTCCTTTAGCTTTCACATCTACAGAAACACCTTCAGTGTCAATGCTGGGTGCAGTAACATCCACTGTAGCTCCATCAACTTGAACATCTGTGTCTACATCAGGTACTCCCACACTGACCTTTGGAGCTCCAAATTTGGGGAATGTGAATGATGGCATCTTAAGTTTGGCCGGTGATCCATCAACATCACCAGTTTGACCTTCAATCTCAGGAGATTTGATTTCCACTGTGGCAGAGGGTTGTTTCATTTTGACGTCAGGTAGTTTGACTTCAGCTTTGGCTTCTGGTAGTGTCACATCTACATCTTTCTTTGATAAGCTCAGATCCATTTCAGGCCCCTTAACTTTGGGCATTGAGATGCCAAACTTTGGCATTTTAAACTTCCTTTCCTGCCCCTCTAATTCTACGTCACCTTCTGGCAGCTTAAGCTCCACCTCAGGTTGTTTGACTTCGACATCAGGCAGTTTGACTTCAGCTTTGGCTTCTGGTAGTGTCACGTCTACATCTTTCTTTGATAAGCTCAGATCCATTTCAGGTCCTTTAACTTTGGGCATTGAGATGCCAAACTTTGGCATTTTAAACTTGCTTCCTGACCCTTCAATGTCACTTCCTTTAGCTTTCACATCTACAGAAACACCTTCAGTGTCAATGCTGGGTGCACTAACATCCACTGTAGCTCCATCAACTTGAACATCTGTGTCTACATCAGGTACTCCCACACTGACCTTTGGAGCTCCAAATTTGGGGAATGTGAATGATGGCATCTTAAGTTTGGCCGGTGATCCATCAACATCACCAGTTTGACCTTCAATCTCAGGAGATTTGATTTCCACTGTGGCAGAGGGTTGTTTCATTTTGACGTCAGGTAGTTTGACTTCAGCTTTGGCTTCTGGTAGTGTCACATCTACATCTTTCTTTGATAAGCTCAGATCCATTTCAGGTCCTTTAACTTTGGGCATTGAGATGCCAAACTTTGGCATTTTAAACTTGCTTCCTGACCCTTCAAGGTCACTTCCTTTAGCTTTCACATCTACAGAAACACCTTCAGTGTCAATGCTGGGTGCACTAACATCCACTGTAGCTCCATCAACTTGAACATCTGTGTCTACATCAGGTACTCCCACACTGACCTTTGGAGCTCCAAATTTGGGGAATGTGAATGATGGCATCTTAAGTTTGGCCGGTGATCCATCAACATCACCAGTTTGACCTTCAATCTCAGGAGATTTGATTTCCACTGTGGCAGAGGGTTGTTTCATTTTGACGTCAGGTAGTTTGACTTCAGCTTTGGCTTCTGGTAGTGTCACATCTACATCTTTCTTTGATAAGCTCAGATCCATTTCAGGCCCCTTAACTTTGGGCATTGAGATGCCAAACTTTGGCATTTTAAACTTCCTTTCCTGCCCCTCTAATTCTATGTCACCTTCTGACAGCTTAAGCTCCACCTCAGGTTGTTTGACTTCGACATCAGGCAGTTTGACTTCAGCTTTGGCTTCTGGTAGTGTCACATCTACATCTTTCTTTGATAAGCTCAGATCCATTTCAGGTCCTTTAACTTTGGGCATTGAGATGCCAAACTTTGGCATTTTAAACTTGCTTCCTGACCCTTCAACATCACTTCCTTTAGCTTTCACATCTACAGAAACACCTTCAGTGTCAATGCTGGGTGCACTAACATCCACTGTAGCTCCATCAACTTGAACATCTGTGTCTACATCAGGTACTCCCACACTGACCTTTGGAGCTCCAAATTTGGGGAATGTGAATGATGGCATCTTAAATTTTGATGGTGATCCTTCTTTACCCTTTCCTGATACCTTGATCTCAGGAGATTTAATTTCCACTTCAGGTTGTTTGATTTCAACTTCAGGCAGTTTGACTTCAGCTTTGGCTTCTGGTAGTGTCACGTCTACATCTTTCTTTGATAAGCTCAGATCGATTTCAGGTCTTTTGATTTGAGGTCCAGAAAAACCGAGACTTGGCAGTTTAAACTTGCCTCCTTTTCCTTCATGCTCAATTCCTGTAGTTTTAATATCTGTTGAGGGGCCTTCAATGTCAACACTGGGTGCTGCAATGTCAACTGTAAGAACTTCCTCAGGAATGTTGATGTCAGCTCCTTCGATTTTAATGTCTTTGTCGGGTACATCTACAGTGGCACTTGGAGTACTAACTCCAAATTTGGGTAGTTTGAATGTTGGCAATTTAAATTTTGATGGTGATCCTTCCTTACCCTTTCCTGATACCTTGATCTCAGGAGCTTTGATTTCCACTTCAGGTTCTTTGACCTCGACATCTGGTAGTTGAACTTCAGCTTTGGCTTCTGGTAGTGTCACATCTACATCTTTCTTTGATAAGCTCAAATCCATTTCAGGCCCCTTAACTTTGGGCAATGAGATGCCAAACTTTGGCATTTTAAACTTGCTTTCCTGCCCCACTAATTCTACGTCACCTTCTGGCAGCTTAAGCTCCACCTCAGGTTGTTTGACTTCAACATCAGGCAGTTTGACCTCAGCTTTGGCTTCTGGTAGTGTCACGTCTACATCTTTCTTTGATAAGCTCAAATCAAATTCAGGCCCCATAATTTTGGGCATTGAGATGCCAAACTTTGGCATTCTATACTTGCTTCCATCAACTTCTGCCTCTAATTCTGGTATGTTCATATCCACTTCCCCTTTTTTCACTTCCACTTTGCTCTCTGGAATTGCAACTTTCACGTCCTGAAGACTAGCATCCATTTCAGGGACATTAACACTTGGTTTTGAAAAAGAAAATCTGGGCAATGAAAACCTGGATTTTTTCAGTTTTGCATCTACCTCAGCACCCGGCTGTTGATCTATCACAACACTGCCTGAAGGCATTGTGACTTCAACCCCTGGCAGATGGACCTCTGCTTTAACTTCTGGTACACTGACATCTGCTTGTGGCACAGATATGTGCATGTCTGTGCCATCAATTTTGAGTTTTTTGTCTATATCAGGTACTTCAGCGCTGACATTTGGAGTGGCAGATCCTAATTTGGGAAATTTGAATGTTGGCAGTTTAAATTTTGAAGGTGATCCTTTCACATTGCCTAATTGAGCTTCAATCTCAGGAGCTGTAATTTCCACTTTAGCAGAAGGTTCTTCAAGTTCAACATCAGGAAGACTGACCTCAGCTTTTGCTTCTGGTAGGGCGATGTCTGCATCTTTCTTTGATAAGCTAAAATCAATGTCAGTTCCTTTTACTGTTGGCATTGAGATTCCAAACTTTGGGATTTTTAACTTGTGCCCTTGCCCATCAAGTTCACCTTCAGACTGGAAGGCTTTAATTTCTAGTTCAGGGTGTTTAACCTCCATCTTTGCTTCTGGCACTGAAACATCTACTTTTCCAAGGTTAACATCAATTGCAGATCCTTCTGGGAGTTCAACCTCAGGCTTGGCCTCAGGTAATTTGATATCTTTCTTTGGTAAGCTTAAATCAATCTCAGGCCCTTGTACCTTTGGCAATGATATTCCAAATTTTGGCACCTTGAACTTGCTTTCTTTCCCCTCACCTTCAGTTCCTTTCATTTTTACATCAAGTGATGGGCCATCAATATCAACATTCTGTGCTGCAATATCAACTGTTTCTCCATCTTTAGGAATTTTAAACCTAGCCCCTTCAACTTTTATGTCTTTGTCCATTTCAGGTACCTCTGCACTGATGTTTGGAGTGGCAGCTCCAAATTTAGGAAACTTAAATGATGGCAGTTTAAATTTTGATGGCAATCCTTCCACGTGACCCAGCTGAGCTTCAATCTCAGGAGCTCTAATTTCCACTTTAGCAGACGGTTCTTTCAGTTCAACATCAGGAAGTTTGACTTCAGCTTTAGCCTCTGGTAGTGTCACATCGACATCTTTTTTGGAGAAGCTTAAATCAATTTCAGGTCCTTTTACCTTTGGCATTGTGATTCCAAACTTTGGCATTTTAAACTTGCTTCCTTGCCCATCAATTTCTGCTTCACACCCTGGTGGTTTCATATCAACACCAATGTCCGGAGCGTCTGGGAGTTCAACCTCAGCTTTAGCCTCTGGAATTGTCACATCAACATCTTTTTTGGAGAAACTTAAATCAATTTCAGGCCCTTTTACTTTTGGCATTGTGATTCCAAACTTCCGCACTTGTAACTTGCCTCCATGCCCTTCACGTCCAACATCATCAGGTTTTCTAACCTTCACCTTTGCTTCCGGAATCAAAACTTCTGCTTGTCCAAGATTGGCATCGATTTTCGGGGGTTCTGGGATTTTGATCTCTGCTTTAGTCCCTGGTAATATGACATCTGTGTCTTTCTTTGATAGGCTTAAATCTATGTCAGACCCTTTGACTTTAGGCATAGAGAAACTAAAATTTGGCATTTTGAATTTTGAAGGTGATCCTTCTGTGCCCCTAGCTACATTTTCAATCTCAGGAGCTTTAATTTCTACTTTAGCATGAGCGTCTTTAAGTTCAACATCAGGGAGGTTGACATCTGCCTTGGCTTCTGGTAGGGTGACATCTCCATCTTTCTTTGAGAAGCCTAGATGAAATTCAGGACCTTTCACTTTTGGCATCGACATTCCAAACTTTGGCATCTTGAACTTGCTTCCTTCAACTTCAACTTCAGTCTGCAAAGGTTTAATTTCCAGCTCAGGTTTTTCAACATTAGCCTTTACCTCTGGAATGGAAACATCTGCGTTTCCAAGATTAATATCAGTTTTAGGGGCTTCTGGGAGTTTGACCTCAGCTTTAGCCTCTGGCAGTGTGACATCAACATCTTTCTTTGATAAGCTTAAATCAAATTCAGGCCCTTTTAATTTGGGCATTTTAATTCCAAGCTTTGGCATCTTGAACTTTCCCCCCTGTCCATCAAGTTCACCTTCAGTCTGCAAGAACTGCTTTTCCATGTCCGGTTTTTTAACCTCCACAGTAGCCTCTGGAACTGAAACATCTACTTTCCCAAGATCCACCTTTGGAAATTTGGCATCAGCTTTAGCCTCTGGTAATGTGACATCTCCATCTTTCTTTGATAGGTTTAAATCAAACTCAGGCCCTTTGATTTTTGGCATTTTGATTCCAAACTTTGGCATTTTAAACTTCTCACCATGTCCATCCATCTCTGCTTCTGGTGGTTTTATCTCCACAGCGAGTTTATGGTCTTCTGGAAGTTTTATTTCAGCTTTAGCCTCTGGAATTGAAACATCTACTTTCCCAAGATTGACCTCTGGAAGTTGGACATCAGTTTTGGCCTCTGGTAACGTGACATCTACATCTTTCTTTGAAAGGCTCAAATCAATTTTAGGTCCTTTCACTTTTGGCATGGATAAACCAAGATGTGGCATTTTAAATTTGCTTCCTTTTCCATCCTGTTCAGTTCCTTCAGTTTTCATATCTATGGAAGCTCCGTCGATGTCAATGCTGGGTGCTGTAATGTGAACTGCAGACCCCTCGTCAGGGATATTAATACCTGCTCCATCGATTCTGACACCTTTGTCCGTATCAGGTGGTTCTGCAGAAATGTTTGGAGTTACAATTCCAAATTTTGGTAGTTTGAATGTTGGCATCTTAAATTTTGTTGGTGATCCTTCTGTACCTTTTGTTGCAACATGTATTTCAGGAGCTTTGACTTTCACCTTCACAGAGGGTTCTTTTAGTTCGACTCCAGGGACATCTACTTCAGCTTTGGCTTCTGGCAATGTCCCATCTCCATCTTTCTTTGATAAGCCAAAGTGAATTTCAGGTCCTTTTACTTTTGGCATTGACACTCCCAACTTTGACATTTTAAACTTGCTTCCTTGACCATCAAGTTCAACTTCACTTTGCAGAGGTTTTATTTCTAATTCAGGCTTTTTGACTTCAATTTTTCCCATTGGAAGAGAAACATCTGCTTTGCCCAGACTGACATCAACTTCAGGAGCTTCAGGAGATTTTACTTCAGCTGTGGCTTCCAGCGGTGTCACATCTCCATCTTTCTTCGATAAGCCAAAGTGAATTTCAGGTCCTTTTACTTTTGGCATTGAGATTCCAAACTTTGGCACTTGGAACTTGCCTCCATGTCCTTCAAGTTCAATGTTAGTCTGCAAGGTTTGGACTTTCACTTCAGGTTTTCTAACCTCCACCTTTGCTTCTGGAATCAAAACCTCTGCTTTTCCAAGACTAGCATCAATTTTAGGGGTTTCTGGGAGTTTGAGCTCAGCTTTAGCCTCCGGCAGTGTGACATTAACATCTTTCTTTGATGAGCTAAAATCAAATTCAGGCCCTTTCACTTTTGGAATTTTTACAACAAATTTGGGTATTTTGAACTTTCCTCCCTGTCCATCAAGTTCGCCTTCAGTCCTCAGAGGTTGGATTTTCAGCTCAGGTTTTTCAATCTCCATCTTTTGCTCTGGAATGGAAACATCTACGTTTCCAAGAGTAACGTCAGTCTTGGGGGCTTCTGGTAGTTTGATCTCAGCTTTAGCCTCTGGCAGTGTGACATCAACATCTTTCTTTGATAAGCTTAAATCAAATTCAGGCCCTTTTAATTTGGGCATTTTAATTCCAAGCTTTGGCATCTTGAACTTTCTTCCATGTCCATCGAGTTCACCCTCAGTCTGCCATGGTTTGATTTCCAGTTCAGGTTTTTCAACCTCCATCTTTTGCTCTGGAAGAGACAAATTTATTTTTCCAAGAGAAACGTCAACCTCAGGAATGTCTGTGAGTTCAGTCTCAGCTTTAGCCTCCAGTAGTGAGATGTCTACATCTTTTTTTGACAAGCTTAAATCTATTTTCGGTCCTATCACCTTTGGCATACTGATAGTTGGCATTTTAAACCTCCCATCCTTTTCTGTTTCTGCCCCATCAATAGTCATATCCATACCTGCATCAGGCATAGTCACACTGATGTTTGGAGTCACTGCTTCAAATTTTGGAAGTTTGAATTTGTGCTCCTCAGCTTCAGCGTCTTTAATTTCATCCCTGATCTCCGGAAAGGAGAGATCACATTTTGGGCCTGCAGCATGAAGATTATCACCAAGACCCGTAAGCTTTATGCCAGCATCCTTTTTGGCTGGTGAACCATCTACTGAATCAATGTATTCAATGCCCTCAATTTCAGGTATCCTGACATCTGATATGACTCCTCCCATCTTGTTCCCTGTTTCAGTCTTTGACACCTTTACTTCTTGGAAGAAAATCGTCCTTTCTCCTTTCACGTTGTCAACTTTTTGCTCAGAGATAGTTTGTTTAGGCAAGTCAATTCCAATGTCAGGGATTCTTATGTCTGGTTTTGCAATCCCAAAGCGAGGCATTGTCATCTTCTTTGATTTGAATGTAACTGCAGATTCATACTCGGACTTGATGTCCTCTGTGCCTTGTGTCTGAAGAGTAGCGACTTCACATGCACTTTCTTTTCCAGGTATTACGATATGTTCTCGTTTATAAACCTCTCCATCGCCTTGCTTTGGCTCAGTTTTGTATTTCTTTTCAGGTTTGTTCAAATCTACGCGGGTCTCAATCAGAAGCTCCTCTGAAGATAAATCAGTAGGTGTGATCTTTGGTAGGTTGACTGATGTCTTGGAGATTTCTGGAGAGGCAGCTACATCGAACTTACTGAAGTGTGTCTCATGTTTTGTTTTCGTGGGTGTTTTCACTGATATTCTTTGTGCATTTGCATCTATCACAGTAATTTCTTCAGGAATAGGAACTCCACTCGTGTCAACCTTAGGCAGCTTAAATCCAGGCAGTTTTGAAACTGCCTCTTTCACGCTGTCAACATCAATGGACAGTTGTACAGTTTCAGCCTGAACGTCTTCATAATTTCCAGTATAACCAGCCTTTGGCTCTTTAATTCTTTTGGCTGTGGGCTTCGTAAATTTGTCCTCCATACCTGGAATCTCAATGTCTTCACGTTTGGGAAGTTTTGTTCTGGAACGACTGCTTTTTGACAGTCGCTCATAAGGATCTTCTTTCACCTCTGTGCCCTCAGCTGTAACCTGCTCAATCTCAGTTGTGCCTTCTTCAACGTTTACATTATTCTTTGGTATTATTTCCTCAGTGTCAAGGTCGCAAAAGCCGATTTTAGGCAGTTTGAATGTTGGACCTATCTTTGTTTCTTGTTTCTGCTTCATGTCTTTGTCTTTGCCTTTCTGTGGAGATTTTTGTATCAATAGAACATCAGATATTTCAAGTTCCACCTTTAGTGCACTCGTTTCCATCTGTGTCGTCCCTGATTTGGTGGGGATTATCCTTGAACTGTCACTGCTGTTTATTTGGGTGCTGCCATCAAGTGCTAGTTGATCTCCCTGTGGTCGTGTTTGTGAATCCAAACTTGGGATGACATCTGATTTTTCATTTCCAGGTTGGTCTGCTATTTCAATACTTGCCCCCAGTGTTTTCAGCCTCTTTGGTGATGATTTGGCTTTTGCATCTTTCTTGTGCGATTTATCCTTCCCCAGAATTTTCAATTTTAATTCGGACCGTTCTTTCTTCTTTTTCTTCCCGTCGGGGGATTTAATACCGGACGGGCTTTCTTGACCCGCCAGAGCCGCAGTTAGATCTGCTGTTTTCACAGTGCTGTCTATATCGATGAGCTCCACCTTGTGTTGAACAGTTTGAGGTTCGGTCAGTTTTTGATCGGTTTGCTCACGTCTTAAGTCTTCAGCATAGATTTGAAGTGTTTCTCCTGAGGGGCTTTCAAGGCACTCAGGTGAAATCATCTGCGTTGTTGTAGGTGCATCTGTGTCCTGGTCTTCGGATGAACTAATTCGTCCTCTCTTTGTCAGAGCAGAAAGCTTCACTTTATGCTTCTTCTTGCCTTTGAGAGCATCCTGAGATTTTATAGGTGACTCTGTGTCGCTTGTTGTTGGGCTAAGCTCGAGTTTTCGCTGCTCATCAGCCTCTGAGGAGCTGTGAGACCTTGTAAAGCGGGACTTCCGTCCTTTCCCAAAGGAGGGAAACTTAGGCCATGAAATGCGGGCATCACCACGCCTTTTGGTTTTTCCTTGCTCCCTCATCTCTGGTGCGTAGATGTCTTCCTCCTGTTTGAGCAAAAGAAAAAATGAAATGTGAGTCTTAGCCTGAAGACGACCCATCATCACAAAGAGTCTGACAACATGAAAATAGTTACAGGGATGACGTCAGACTCGATGGTTGGTTCAGTCTCTGTGATGTTGGGTTTGCGTTTCAAGCAGAGCTTCACTTTGTACGCCTGAGCGTGCTCCAGGATCTGGATGGCATCCTCGTATGACACGTTGTCAAAATACACAGTAGCGCTCAGAATCTGATCACCTGCATTTAAACAAGAGCAAACTATTTCAGGGGATTTCACTGTTTCAATGTGTGATAACGATTCAGTAAAATGGAAACAGCAGATACAGTAAGAGAGGTCATCAGTGAAGGTGATGACACTTCCAAAGTTAGAAAATATGCGGCACAAGATTTCAAAGTACGACGGATGTTTGAATGTATGCCGCTCATTAGCTTCATTAATCTCCCCTTTCTCAGTCATATTGGTTTTTGTTGTAGTAATATAATAGTTTGTCATTTACCTTCTTTGAGTTTGAGACTTTTTGAGGCAGGTGACTCTGGTACGACTTCCTTAATAAAGATTCCCTCTCTCCCTCCTCCACCATAAACCAGACCCTCCGCACATCCGTCTTTGGCTGTTTTCACGATCAGCCCGGACTCGGGACTATGGACTTCCTGTGAACACATCCATCAGATCATTTTACCTCCAGGCTGTGTTGATCTCTGCTGCAGAGATTCAGTACAGAGACGAGAAGGTGGAACGTCTCACCTTCAGTTTACTCATCTTTGGAGTGGAGCGCTTTTCAAACATGGACCCAAGCCCAGACTTCTTAGTTTTCCTTCCACTCCCACTTATGTAGTGTGGGTCATGCTCCTCTTCACACTAACAGGAAAACAGAAAAAATGATCAGACTGAAAAAGAAAAATACTGAATAAAGTACTGAATAAAACCCTGCAGCAGTCTGAGAGATTCAGTCTGATTTAAACATTAGTAGGTCTGAACCCAACATCTTTGTTTTACATTCAAAGCTTCTATTGAGGTTTTTGAATAAAGCCTTTTTATGATGTCATCGCAATAAAATAACAAAAATTGTTGTATGAAATATATATGTGTAGAAATATAAAAGTGATTCATTGGACTGAATCAGTCTTCTTTCAGTTTAAATGAATGAATGTAATTTAAGCTAAAACAGGATTGTGTTGATGCTGTCACACAGTCTGTTTCCATGACAACAGAGAAAACCGATTTATATAAATCCCTGTAAACATGTTAGTGTGAGTGAATACAGTCAATCAGACCCAAACTGGCCGAGGTGCTCTGAGCATGCTCCACAGTTTCCGTCCCGGGCTTTGACCTGTGTGTGTGTGTGTGTGTGTGTGTGTGTGTGTTGGTACCTCTTTGTCACTGTCGGTGTATTTCTCAGTTTCAGGATACTCCTCAACAGGGGACGATCCCTGAGGCCGCGGTCTCTCTGTGAACTGAGATGGCTCGTCACATGTCTGCGTGGACATGAAGGTCAGTTAAAACAGTCACATCATTTTAAAGAGATATGATGACACTTTGAGTCAGATATTTTTCAGCCACCTGAAACACAGTTTGAATTTTAAACTGGTGTTTCTGCAGTGTGGGGAAACCTGGATGATAAACGATGTGATGACACCTTGCTGTGCCAAAGACAGCACTGACTGTCTGTTTGGTGTTTAACAGTTGATGGACGGCAGCATTGGCCGATCTGTCCGTTCAACAACAGAGCAAAATATGTCAAAAATAATTTCATTTATTCTCATGTTATTCAGTTCAGAGATTAATTAATTAAATAACTTCAGGCTTCATAATTTATTTCTGCGGTATGTGGCCCACTGAAATCTCAATATCACTATCCTCATTCAGATTAAGAAGTTACAAATTATATTCAGCCACAAAATAAGTCTGAAAAGCTGCAAATCAGAACGGAAGTACAGAGAGTTGTTGACTAGAGATGATACACCGTCTCATGGTGGTCTCATGGTGGCACAACTCTCTGTGCTTCTGATCTGTAACGTTGACAGGAAGTGGCCACCATGAGACAGCGCATCATCTCTAGTCAACAACTCTCTGTGCTTCTGATCTGTAACGCTGACAGGAAGTGACCGCCATGAGACGGCGTATCATCTCTAGTCAACAACTCTCTGTGCTTCTGATCTGTAACGTTGACAGGAAGTGACCACCATGAGACGGCGCATCATCTCTAGTCAACAACTCTCTGTGCTTCTGATCTGTAACGCTGACAGGAAGTGACCGCCATGAGACGGCGTATCATCTCTAGTCAACAACTCTCTGTGCTTCTGATCTGTAACGTTGACAGGAAGTGACCACCATGAGACGGCGCATCATCTCTAGTCAACAACTCTCTGTGCTTCTGATCTGTAACG